TCTACATTGTAATTTATACTAATATTTACATAAATGCCATTTAATTTTAAAATAACTTTTAACATATCATGAATATTTTTGTCATTAAATATTTATCTAAGTCATTTTTAAAAATAGGTTTATTATTCAACAAAACAAGGTCTTGTTGAACATTTACGTTGCTGACATTTCTCAATATAAACCAAGCCAAGATTAATTCTAATTAAATCTTTGATCTTTCCATTAGTCTTAGAATAATTCCAAGAGGCAAATTTGCACAGTTCAAGCAAAATGCTTTTGGGCTTCTCATACAAATGATTATATTTTTTCCAAAAAGATATATATACTGATACTGCTAGAAGAGTCTCATGATTAGTTTTATATTCTTTAGTGTAAAGTAATAGGATGTCTGGTATGAATTAGGCCTGGGGAAATAAAAAATTGATGGTATTTACTGAAGACATAAGAAATACAGTAAAAGAATTTTTTATTTTCTTTCATAATTAGGCTACACATAGGCTGAACTATGTATAGAATGAACTAAACCCAACTCTATGAACTAAACCCATCGGTCCAATACACTATAGATATTATATTAGAAATACACTAAATGCATACACATGTGCACAGTAAGAGATAAGAATTTTAAGCAATTTAGTTTTCTAAATTATAATTTGTTTATACTTACAGAAAGCTTATCTGTCAGATAGATGAAAACAGTACTTACTTAAAATATCAGTGTCTTCCAAGTCCTGAAGAATGAGCTCTTCAACAGTTTTACTCCTGTTCTTTATAATGTTAATACAATGAAGAACTGACTCCGGTAATTTAACTGAATTCTAAAAAATTGAATAATAAAAGAAATTGTAAAAGTGTTTATTATCAAAATTACGTGTCAAATATTTAACCCTTTATTCCACATCAAAAATTTGACCAAAACATGTAAATGAAGTCAAAGGGTTCCATATAAAGAACATACTTCAGACAAACATATTTGGGTAAAGTTTGCTTTTAATTTTCAGGTGGTTGTGCATTTCTAGAAAACCCTAAGAAACCAAATGAAAAGAGTTACCTACACATCAATTTCGTTAACTTTATTAGAGGCGGTTTATTTTTCAGTGCCCTCAATAGTTTTAGACTAATTCCAACTTCAAATAAATATTATCAAATATTAATTGAAACTGCAAGATTATTTTTCAAAACATTTAATGTAAAACTAATACCAGATATAATTATTTATGACATTCAAAACTGGCTTTGTGATTATCATACACAAATTTAGTCACATTTGTTAGCTGTTACAAAATATCTGCCAATATAGCCTATGTAAATCAATTTGTAAATTTTCTAAATAACTAAATATATTGATATGCAAAGTGTGAAAATAAATTCCTTCCTCCATAAATACCATGACTAGTTAGAAAACATAATGCAAATAAATAATATTGATAACAACAAAATACTTGAAGCATTTAGAAATGATTTTAATAATAATCTTGAAGCTGCATATATTTATATGACTACAAAACTTCATTGAGGGACCTCAAGCATGGCATGAATGAAACAAAATGAATGTTTCCATATAGAACATGATATGCACCTGCTTTTATCTAACTAAAAACAAATAGTTTCTGCCATACTGGGTTTTCATGTGTTTAATAGGATTTTCAGCCAGTTTATTTTCTCTATCCTAATGAAATTCAGTGTTTAGTTTTGAGAATAAACATCAGAAAATAATGAGAAAATAATACCTTTCTCTTAGTACTACAGAAAAGCATGTAAAATTATGTCATAAAATGAGTCCTGATACAGTAGTGTATTAAAAATATTGACAAAAATATCAATTCTACTTTTATGACATCTGTCCTGCATTGAAATTTCTATTTCTTGTTTAAGAAGTCTTTTAAGCTACCTGGATTATACAGATTATTATGTCCTGTGAAATATAATTTATAATCTCTATATCCTTAGTTAATAATTTCTTCCCCTGGTTATAATATTTACATTGATTCTAAGCAACATAAATAATTGCGAGCTATCTTAATTGAAAGAGAAGGGCTTTAAAATTTTCTCCTTCCTTTAATATAAAGAGGTACAATAAAATTTAATAAAATCCATTGTTCTGAGGGATTTCGTATTCAAATAAAGAATTTCAGATTTGTTTCTCATTTAAATTAACTCTGGATAAAAGGCATAATAATGTAACAAAATTAATTTTTCTAAAAGCAATAGGTAGGTTTAGTGCAATCCTAATAAAATACAAAGTGAAATTATTGTATGAAATCTTTAAAAAAATGCTTTTTTAAAAAAAAAAAGCTTAGCTAAGATTTTAAAATGGTAAAACAATGTGAAGAATTTGATTCATTCAATATTTAAAAATATACAACAGTAGGAAAATAATGAACACAGAAACAGAAAAAATAGACAGCCTTGGACAGAATATATGTACAATAACTATCCATAAGACATGACAAATCAATTGAAAAAAGTAGATTATTAAACAAGAGACACTGGAAATATTAGATCAGTATGTGCAGAAGATTTTCAAATTAGTTCTACATTTCACAAATTCCTGAGAATAAATTCCAACTCGATTAAGGATATTGGTATAAATGATGAAATCTATGAATAAACTGTATAAGCATATAAACATTGGTAAAAATACACAAATAAAAGGATAATTTGTTTTATTCCAAAAAATAACTATTTTGATAGGTCAAAAGATATCATATACATTTTTCTTTCCACATAACCTGATCATGTTAAAATGTTCATAATTAAGTAAAAACAAAAATCAAAATACAAATATGTATATATTATTATCCCAATTTTACAAAGATGCACATCTAGCAACATGGAATTATAGGTGACTATATATATTCAATATAATTTACATTTATATCAATTGTTTATAAAAATGCTTCTAAAAAATGAGAAGTATACAAAAACATCCTAAGGAAAGTAATATTTCTCTTGAAAACCCTACTCCTGTTAAAAAGGTTCAAAAGTGCAATACTTACTGTATCACTATCATCACTCTGGGTTTCTGATTTTGATTCACTCTCAATGTCCTCATTTTCCAAGGAGGAAATGCTGAGTTTATCCAATTCAGCTTCTATTTCTGCTTTGAGCTTTGCATCATCGTCATCCATTATTCTTTATAATAAAACACAGAACTGCTTAAAAAATGAAGAGGCTCATATATCACTAAAAATTAAATGTTCTCTAATTTGTCATACCAATCCATCATATTTATGTAAACATGTTTCAACAAACTTTTATCACATCTTATTATGGTTACACCAAACATTGTTTTATCTCTTCACTCATTCTTTTTAAAATTTGACTATGAAGTGATCGACTGGAATAGTACCCTAATACTCTCATTGATTTATATATTTATATAATTGCACCATACATAATAAACATCAGAATTGTTTAATAAGATTTTTGTTTGTTATTTATTTTAGTACACATATTTCAGTATGCATGTATGCACGAATTGCAGTGTAATATGTGTTTCGCTAATGTTCTGCTTGTTGTTTTTCACTGTTGGTCTTAGTCCCCCAAAAAATTTGAAAAAGTATTAGTTAGCTATCATTTTATTTTTCATGACACTGGTTTAAACTTCTTTTTTTTTTTATTTCCTCTAAGGCCTGTCTTTCCACCTATCTTCTTTTCTTCATTCCTTCTCTCCATCCTCTTTCCCTTTCATTAATTCTTTCTTTCACTCTACTCAATCATTTTAAAATAAATTCTACTCACAACCTCGTCACTCAAAAAAATTAAAAAAAAGAGAGAAAAGAAAAACAAAATGAAATGACACTTCAAACAGAACCGGGGCAAAACGTTATCCAGCAACAGAACTCTAAGTGCAATTCGAAAGCTTTGTTACAAGGAAAGTTAAATATTCTTTTTCTATGCCTACAATGCAAAATACACAGGTATATTAAACGTTATGTAGAAAGAGACGCAGGAGAGTATGGTGGAGGTTAGTCATTCCCTTTATATGACTGTTCATTTACTGGCTCATTAGATCACCCCTGTCCAATTACATATTTGAACATTTATGCAAGTTTAAGTTTTCTAGTATCAACATTTTAAAAAGAGAAACAAGTGAAATTAATTTTAATAATATATTTTATTTATCCCAATATATCCAAAATATTTCAACGTGTAATCACAAAATTAATTATATCAATGGAAAAAATTTACGTTCTTTCTTTGCACACAAATTCTTAGAAATTTGTTGTGTATTTTACACCTGCAGCACATCTCAATTAGGATTAGCTGCATTTCAAGTTTTCAATAGCCACCTGTAGTCAGTGGTTACTGTACATGACGTGCATCCACGGATGGATCTCACTGTTATAAATAGACTACATTAAAGTGCTCTAAGTTGATAACGAATAACTTGGAGTTGACTAAAGCTGTCAAAAGTAGAAAAGCTTAAGAAACTCCACCCTTCAACCCCTGTAAAGAAATGGGAGAGAAATCTACTTTATAAGGGCATGTACATTATTTATTACAAAAAAAAAAAAAAGAAAAGAAAAGAAAAAAAAAAGTAAGAGTGGAAAGGAGGGAGACAAGAAGGGAAAGAAGGAAGGAAAAGAATGTCAATTGGTTTGTGGGGAACGGTGAGTGAGTAACCATCGAATGCTCCCCACATAGCCAAGACAGCTCCTTTAAGTTTTGAGTGAGCTCCCAAAATCTCCGGAATTGAAGGGAGCCTAGAGCTTCGCAGAGTCGCGCAGCCTTCCCCGGAGCCGCGGTCTCTCCCTTTCCCCGGAAGCCTGACCATGGCAGAGAGGGTCCCGGCTCGGCCGGAGGTCCCACATTTGCTTCACCTCCCTCAGTATGAATTCCGGTCTTGAGGGCCCCAGCTCACCCCCCGAGCAGCAAGGCTCCTCAGCTTGGTTGTAAAACAGCGCCCATAGCCTCGAAACACAAGAGTATCCATGGCAACAGCCAATCCCAAGGAAGAGAGACCGGTTTTTTCCTTACAGGTGCTCCAGAAGGACAAACTATCTCGCTTCTAAATTGAACGCAGCATTTCAGAGGCTGGATGAAGAACTTAAGTGTTTTTACAGGTAGATTTTAATATTTAAATGCTTTTGGAAAATATTTAATGAAATGAAATTTTGTTATAATTACCCAAGAAGATGTAACCTCATCTCTAAATTGTTTAAATTGTTTCTTAGCTACCTATATTTATTTTTCCACCTAGTGATTTGCTCATGTATATAAGTTGTACATTACACAAAACCTTAATCCTGAACCGTGATTTGTGCGAAGAAGTATAGAGGGGCAGGCAAAAGTTTTTTGGCTTCTATGACAACAGCTTTTTAAGAAAGAAAAAAATTAAATTAAAAATCAATCATCAATCAGTGCCCATCAAAAGCCTCTAACTGAAGGGGTGTGGGTGTGAAGTTTGAAAAATTATTTTCTGGAACTATTTTACTGTAAAAATATTGACAGATAGTATTTCAATATAAAGCCTTAATTTCTAAGTTTATGCCATGCTATTTAATATTAACATAATTTATTGTTTTTTGTGGAGCAAACATATAGTTTACAAAATGACATTTTAATTAATAACAGTTTTTAATTTTCTTTTAAAGTTTGCAAACAAGGCATTAAATTCTAAAAGGAAGTAGTAATAATTGTAAAAGATATCTGCTATAAAATAAGCTAAAAGCAAATATTCCATTGAGCCTCTGGAAAAAAAATAGACTACATTTCCTGGTAACAATACACTTGAATTGCATCAACATAAGAACTAATAATATAAAGTGAGAAGTTAATAGACTTTTCATATTAAAAGCACACATATTAGGGTCCTTTTTCAGAAAGATAATTTTAAAAAATAATAAACTATTCTTGGTTTCAGGTCTAATTAAGTTCAGAGTATATTCATTATCATAGTCCATGCTCAAATGGCATTTGTTCTTTAAGTTTGGTTTTATTACTGATTTATAGACTGTTAAAATTATTTATTTTTTATTGTTTTCTTAGAGATAGTGTTTCTCTCTATTGCCAAGGCTGGAGTGCAGTGGTACAATTATAGCTCACTCTAACCTCCAACTCCTGGACTCAAGTGATCCTCCTTCTTTGGCCTCCCAATACCCTGGGATTATAGGTATGAGCTACTGTGTTGGAACCTCAAACTCTTCATCTAAAGTAGATTTTCATATTGTGTTGAAGTTCACATGTAAGAATCTTAAGATTAGTTTTATTTGTGATTACTATTCAGACTTCTAAAAATTATAAATTCTTTAATAATCAATTTCAAAATTAATTTTGAATAACTAGTTTTTGTAATCAAATAATTTTGGAAATAATGCATTAGTTGCTTTTCTTTATTGTTTATCAACCATGTAGCATTTAGAAGTCCATTTTGATTTCAGTCTTCCTAGAAATGGCAACTTCAGATTGATAACTTCAGATTGAGTATGCTAGTTTGCCTATGACCCTTTAACCTGAATACAAGTTTGTTTCTTTTGAACATGTTAACTTCATTTTATTTAAATTTTGAAAACAATTTGTAGGTGTGGTTGATTTATACCCTATTGACTAAACAATACATATTTCCTTTAGAGAGCACATAATAAATATTTATTGAGAGAATGAAAGAATGAGAGATAATTGTTCTTTGTTATCTGACAAGAATAATATTTCTTTGAAAATGTTGAGTAGTGAAATCATTTTAGTTTAATACCATTTTTCAACAACTGCTTTATTCTTTATATGACAGTGATATAATTTAAATATCCCAGAATATTATTGTCATCTTCAAAATAGCTGCATAGCACATATTTCTTTGTTTAATTTTCTTGAGGCACAGTGATTATTGAGTAAACATACTTTAATATCTACCTCATAGTGCCTCATATTGTATTCTTAGACCTCTCCTTCTCTTGTACCACTTTTGTCTCAAGCCTTCAGATTCTCTAACTCTTTGTTCTTCCTCCCAGCAGCTGTCGTGACCAACTACTTCACAGAAAATTGAGAATTTATCACCTTCCCACAGTTTCCATCCCATTACCCATCCTCACATGCATGACTCTTGTATAATCTTAGTATTTCTATACTGAGATATGGTATAACAAGATTCATAACTTACATCATGCCAGGCATTGGGCTAAGTGCTTTACAAACATATTCTCATCCAATTTTCACAACATCCCTTTGAGGCATGTACTATTATAAGCTGCATTTACAGATGATGACACTGGGGCTTGGGAAGGTTATTGAGAGTGTGGGTTCTATCTCTGGATTCAAATCTTATCTCTGCCATTTATTAACTTAGTGACCTTTGGCAAGTAATTTTGCCTTCCTGAGTCTTTATCTAATAAGGAATCAATTTAAATGACACATTGAAGTATATGAAATAATGCCCAGAGTTTAATTATATAGTTTCTAAAGACTTAAGTGCCAACTTTGATTCTTGGTTTTCCCAATGCTGGCAATCCTATTTCCTGCTACATCTCTCATATTCTGATACTGTTTCCATCCCCGTAGCCATTTTGCAGTTTAGACCACATTTTTCTCTTACGACCTAATGCATTAGCTTTATAAATTATTTCCCTGTCTTAAGTGTATTTTCTAATTTGGCTTCCACATTTATTCCAGAATTATGGCTCCCTATTACTTTCAGAAAAAAAAAATCTTTAGTAAAGCACACAAGATTTGTCACAATCTTTACTGAGTCTACTTCTTTTACTTTATCTTTCATCTCTTGCCACGCTGATCCGTTCCTCCTTACATCTCATTGTAAAGCTTGTGAACTTTACATTGTTCCCTCTGTCTTGAATATTTCCTACCTCTCTCCCATTTTTGTCTAACTAGAACCTTCTTAATCCTCCTTCAAGAGTCCTCTCAAAATCATCTTCACTATGAAACTTACCTGTTTCCTTTATTTCCTGTCCTCACCTCAACACATAATTCAGAGTCAGCCACAGGTTTTAATATTTGACTCCTTGATGTTCTCTGAGTTATTCATTTGTGTGCTCCCATCTCTTGGAACTTAGAAAGAATATAAAAAACAATAACAACAAGCAATTAGAGTTTATTAAATTAAGGAAAAATTATACCTATGAATAGATTAATGATTCTAAGTTGTCCATTCCTATGGCATCTCTGCTGTTGAACCATCAATTAATTAGTCAGGAACTGAACAAAAGAAAGGACACATACGGACCTTATCTAATTAAATTGGAAACAAAATCTCTGTTTATAGCAAAAGAAAATATAGATCTTTCACGTTACAAATATTTAAATAAGAACTGCATTTAACATATTGTGAATCTTTGTGTTGACACATCATTCTTCTCATTGACATTGTTTCTAGTATGTGGAGCTTATGGCTGAAACAGCCAACACATGACCATCTCTTGTTACCATTCTTTGTAAACATAGTCATGGGCTTCTTTGTCTTGTTGCTTGGATGCACAGTTTGTTGTATTTTAACTTTGTAGCCTTGACCTACTATTTCTAAATTACCATAAACATCTTCCTTACCATGTTGCCTGCCTTTGATGTTACTAAATTCTCACTCCTTTTGACTTCTATATCATGTAACATCATGATATGACACCATGATCTAGAAATGTCTTTCTCTATTGGTTTCCATGAGATCATGCCTTGATTGTCTTCTCAGTTTGTAAAAATCTGCTTTAACAATTTCAAATTATTCATTGTATCATTTCATTCTCTACCATCAAACCTCTGCCCATTTACATCTATAGACAATCCATGTTCTCTTTTATTCACACCCATTACATTGGTTCTCCATGGCTTTCAAGGCTGTATAGCCTATGCTACCCATTTATCTGAACTTCATTTACAGTGCCTAAGAGACATATACTTTACCACTTCAAATTCAATTGTGAAATATTAAATTTATGAATTTTTCTTTGAAACCATTTCCCCAATTTTTAAATTTCCAGTGACTACCATTATTCTTTTATTTTCCCATTCTATAGGAATCTTTCTAATTGTCTTTGTTTTCTATAGTAAAACATATTAAAACTTTATCCAAGCTCTCTTTTTTCCTAACTGTCTTTTGTAACTGCCCTTTTCTGACTGGCATTTTGTTTGACTGTCACCACTCTAATTAATTTCTTTTCTTTATTTGGGGTACATGGTTGCCTTCAACTGAAGATGAGTACTGCTGTGGGACCAAGTCTGTGCTGGTGGAATATCAACAGAAGAGAAGTTTACAACTTCAACCTGACTTGCTTAAAAGATGCATCCCTGAGTTTACTCATCCCCTTTTCTTTCTGCTAGCTATAAAGATGCCACCTGGAGACAATTTGGAAGCACATATTGAACAGGCTGGCATTAGCCCCAAGTTTCTACGTGATTTCCTAGAAGAGAATAGATCACCTACTTTGAACTAAGGGATAAATAAAAGTTTCCCTCTATATTTGGGTCCTTTGATAAAGCATTTCAGCTTGACCCTACCTAACATGCTAATTATTACCACATCAACACTCAAGTCCATGCCTTCAATATTTCACATCAGAGTTACTTCTGAGCTTTCTGGTTCATTAATCTCCATTCTCTTTCTTGTTCATAGACAGAGGCCAAGACCTTGTGCCTATCTTTTTGTTCAGGCTGTGGGGGAGCTTTCCACATGCTGCAGTAAATAGAATTTGAACTGAAAATGTAGATTTAATGCATCTTTGAAATAAACTGAAATAAAAATCAGGCAGTCTTTCTGAGTATCTCATCAAAACATGCCAAACATTAGAGGAATAAAGGAATAAGACAATAGGATGGAAAGCAGAAAAAGCAGATGACAGCAAAAGAATTCAAAACATAGGTAGAATATGTAACCTGTAGTGACTCCTCAAACTGAGAACACTGGGAGATTTTAGGAGGAATATGATTTACGATAAAGTAGGGAAGGTAGTACATAGACTAATGCAGACATCTCTTATTTTTCTACTTTTCAAAGCATCCTTCAATTCAACAAACAAATTACTTTCTGCCTAATTAGGGACGTACAAATAACTTTAAAATAATCTTGCTAAATCTGCTTCTATCATATCAATCATCTACCATATATATTAAAACATTGTATACTTCAGTACGTTTAAAAGTATAGCACTAGTTAGAATTAAAACAATGAAAATAGAAAAGAGAAAATCTTGGAACATACAATTAGATCTGAAACTTTCATCTCTACTAAACAGCACCAAAACCCAATGGAGTAAGTACGTATTTTTCCATGAAAGTTTTAGGAAAATTGGCTATCTGGAAAATAAGTTTTAATGAAAGCTACTTTAATTGAGTTTTTTATACTGCATACCAAACTAAATTATAGATGAATTAAGTAATTTAATATATCTATCCATTCATACTTTCAACAAACATATATAAAATACCTAGTGTGTACTAAACTTGGAGATTACAATGGTATATAAGGCCTATCTCACCATTTAAATACCCTTGACTCTCTGTGGGGAAGAAGACAGATCAATGAGAAATTTGAGAGGCAACAAATTGGGTTTAGAGAAAGATCTCCAAACAACACCTCAATGAGGAGCTAATACTATTCTGAGAAAGGGAAAGGGCAGGCAGAAGTGAGGAAAACTTTCCAGCCAGGATAACAAGAGGTATTAAAATGGAAAATGTCCCAGCCATCTAATTGTTGGGATTAAAATAAAAATTTAAAAAATACAATAAGACTGAAAACAAAATATACTTTCTGAAAACTGCAGGATTTTTGGTAAAGCTGCTTATTGAATTTTATATAAATGTCTTCTTAGTCTTGATTGCCTAGTCAAAGCATTGCAGATATATTTTTATTATTTTAAGTGCAGATACTCTCTAGTCAAAAAAATGCAGACAAACATACAGTTTCAAGATACCTTCAATATTTCCTTTCATTTAGGAATGGGAGTATGCTACACTGATAATTGATTCAAGAAGAAAAATGTGCAAATAAAGAACATGAATAGGGAGAAATACTTAAAGTTGTTTTGTGAAATGTTTATAAAAAAAAAGTTGTGGTTGTCTTTCAGAATCATCAGTATCCTGGAAGAAAAAGATGTTAAAAAATAACAAAACAATAATTATTAAGTACTTTCTTAATCTCATTAATGGAGTTTTCTTGGTAAGAATCTTCATGATTGTATATTAAAGAAAATGTAATCTATTTATAGGCAATTATAAAAAATAAGCATTGACATTCTTTTTCTAGGTTCTTGGACTTTTATTCATGGGATTTGGTGCATGGCTTTTATTAGACAGAAATAATTTTTTAACAGCTTTTGGTATGTATTTTTGTTTTTCTCAGTGAAATAGACATTCCGTTTTAAACAGTTGTATACACAATTTATTCAGCAGGTGGCAGTATTTCCTTAGAATTTATTAAGTGTTGTCCAGCATTCCCTCTGAAAGTCTTAATCAGTTGCAGAGATTTGTTAAAGGCTACAAAATTACAGCTAGATCAGAGAAAAAAGTTCTAGTGTTCTATATTACTGTAGGATGACTGTAGTTAACAATAATGTATTACATAGTCACAAATAGCTAGAAGAATATTGAATATTCCCAACAGAAAGAAATGATGCATGCTTGAGATGACCGGATATGCTAATTACACTGATCTGATCAACTATATATATTATATGTATCAAAACAACACCCATGAATATGTACAATTATTAGTTGTCATTTTAAAAATAAAATTTTAAATGCAATTTTAACCATGTAACTTTCCTATTAAAAGCTTTTACCTGACTCCCCATTGCCATTATTTACTCATATAGCAAACGTTACTTAGCATCTTCTGTGTGTCAGCCACTGTCTTAAGAGCTGAGGATATGGTAGTGAACAACAAAATAAAGTTCCTATTCTCATGGAGCTTTATTTCAGTGAGGAAGACTGAAAAACAAAGTGCCTATAATTTCACCCCCGCAAACCTTTTTAGTCTCATCTGACTCCAACTGTATGTGCCAACAAAGTTGAGTTTCTTATGCACACTATGCTGCTGTATGTCTCAGAAATGCTGCACCATTCCAACCTAGATATTTCCAATGATCAATAAAGCCTATGCTCAGATGTTACCTTTTCCAGCAACCTTGCCCAAACCTTCTAACCTTCTTCCCCAACTGGCTTAGGTGCCTCTTTTCCTATAGTATGCCGGCCAACATTTAACAACCAGTTCTGGAATGGAGAGTCTTGATTTATGGCATCTGCCCATTTCCATGGTTTAAACAGTTCCCCAATGGCCAATTTCAAGATGTCAAAGTGAATTCAGTTGGTTTTCAGATTTCCTGGAAATATCACAATTGGCTTTTATGAGCCAGTATAAGCTATCTTTAGCACACCACCACCTACACTGTTCTCCCATAACACCCCCCCCACATATTTAATTGATTTATCCATCCTTCTTTTTTTAAAAGAATTATTTGTTGAGCATTTACTGTCCTGCTGTCTATTCCACAGCACCAAGCATTCAGCAGTCAGCCTGTTGACTGGATAAATATGTATAATCTCTGGCACTGAGGGCTCACATTCTAGATGGGGGAAAATAAAATATAGTTTGAAAGGGATCATATTAGCAATAAATTCAGGATGTATACATCTAAATCACACATATTAGTTTCTAAAGTTTTTTGATGAACGATTAAATCCATGAATGTTTGAATATACATTAGACATAGAGGAGATCTTAGAAACAATTTTCTTCTGTCATAGAAAACAAGGAAAATAAGGGTAAAGAGATCTTCTGAAATTTAAGAAATTCTCTTCATGTGAGAAAAGGAAGAAAGTTGATTCTAAAAGTAAGAGGTGGTACATGAGGTCAAAAATTGAGAGAGAGAAAGAGAGAGAGAGGAGAGAGAGAGAGAGAGAGAGAGAGAGAATCCTAGTGGTTTGGCAACAGCTGCTTAGAAAAACTTTTGGTCGCTGAAATTATTATTAAATAGAAAATTTTTAAAAATACCACTTCATAATAAGTAACTTTGTGCTTTTCACAGATGAAAATAATCACCTTATAGTATCTATTTCTCAAATTTTGATTGGAATGGGATCTTCTACTGTTCTTTTTTGTCTTTTGGGTTACGTAGGAATTCACAACAAAATCAGATGGCTCCTAATTATGGTACGTATTTCACATCAATAGTTTGAATTTTTATCTTAGATGTTTAAGTATCTAAGTTACACAAATGAATAATGATTTATGTTACTGTGGCATTGCAGTAGAGTATGTCCTTAGAGTAATACAAATGAAGCACACCCTCCTCCCTCTAACAAAGTCACTTTTCCAGGTATGATTTTCTTAGTGAGTTTTCTACGAATTGAATCTGTATCTCAGCACATTTGAACATTTCATTTTTAACACAGACCTAATAGGAATCCATCTCCTAGGGTAAACTACAATTCACCAAACTTAAGAATCTGAAGGCTAGAATTAGAATAAAGTTTATTCAAGTCAGTGAGCAATGTAGTAAATCAGGGTAAAAGAGACATGTTCTATAGTCAGCATATTTTTCTCTCTGTGGGCATTACATGAGGAAAGGTAACCTATGCATGAATTTTTTTTTTTTTTTTTTTTTTTTTTTGAGACAGAGTTTCACTCATGTTACCCAGGCTGGAGTGCAATGGCGCGATCTCGGCTCACCACAACCTCCGCCTCCTGGGTTCAGGCAATTCTCCTGCCTCAGCCTCCTGAGTAGCTGGGATTACAGGCATGCACCACCATGACCAACTAATTTTTTGTATTTTTAGTAGAGACGGGGTTTCACCATGTTGACCAGGATGGTCTCGATCTCTTAACCTCGTGATCCACCCGCCTCGGCCTCCCATGAATTAATTTTTTTATAATTTCAACCTTTATTTTATATTAGGGGTACATGTGCTGGTTTGTTACATGGGTATATTACACGATGCTGAGGTTTGGGTTTCAATTGATCCTGTCACCCAGATAGTGAACATAGTACCCAGTAGTTACTCTTTCAACCCTTGCCCCCCTCTTTCCATCCTCTCTTTATTAGTTCCTAGTGTCTGTCATTGCCATGAAAGGTAACTTATAATTGAGATCACAAATTTTTATTTGTAAATGGGAACTCTACTGAAAGAGGCAGACTCTGGCATCTGGCTTGCACACTATTTCTCTTGAGGCTTTTGATGTGAAAAGACAAATTATATTTCAGAGTACTGACCTGGACATGAGCCAGTTACCATACATATGGCAGGTATGGATCACAATTCACACACTCAGATGAAATATAGCCTTTACGTTTTTCTCTAAATCAACTTGATTTTAATTTGCAGCCAAGCAGATAGGAAGTTCAGCTGCTGTCATTTTGTCCCTTACCAGGAAGAATGTAGAGATACTCAGCTTTTGTGGAGCACTGAAAGTCTGGGTGGTTAGTCACCCTGGATGCTAGTTATCAGTCTATGCCATTTACAACAAACACACTAACTTTCCCAGGTCACATGGTCTCTTCAGGTCTACTCACTCTGCTCTTTAAATGGCTGTGGATGGCAAAGGTAGCCTGCTATTCATCCAGTATTTACCAGTACAGGCATACCAGTGAAACCCTTTTGTGAAATATTGGTAAATAACCAGTACCTCAGTTCCATTCCTTCAGTCTTCCTTCCCTGAGACAGTCAGACCTCCCTAATGGCACAGCAATTAGGAGGTACACCTGGCATAGGAATCAGTTGCTGCCTATTAATAGTTACTCTTGTTTGAATATTACCCTGGCACAGGCATTTTAGATATGGCCCCTGATTTCCCTCTGGAGCTTTACCACCTTACCAGGGAAGTGCCAGGATTCCAACAACTATGCTCTGTTGCTCTGGAAACCCACAGACTTCCAGAATCCGTCTCAAAATCTTTTTAGTCCAAGAAGAGATTTTACTGTCTCTTCTTAATCTCCTCCAAGGCCAACCCTCTCTTCTCAAACCTTATCTTTCTCTCTGTCTAGGATCCTTAGCCTAATTTTCTCACTGAGCTTCAGAATTTGATTATAGTGACCAGGACAGAAATGGCTTGCAAGAAAATCTTGTTTTTTTTCTTCTTGTCACAAATTTCCATGTAGGCAAAGGAAATGCAGAGCCTACTGCTTATACAATGTATGGGGTAGAGGTAGGAAAGAAAAGGGGAAAGTAGAGGGAGAAAAACAAACATTTTCTAAGTTTTTGCCTCACATGATTCAAGTATTAATGGAATCTGAATGAGAAAGCCTGATAGACACCATCATAAGGATATATACATGAACATAGGATCTGACAGGTTAGGGCCTGGAACCAAGATGCCACCATCCATCCCTTCTGGACATTCCCTGGAAGGGTACTGCTAATTTGACCATCGTGACACTTTTGCTATTCTCCTCTGAATTAACCAATACTTTTCTGATGAATATATTTTTCCCTGAACCAAATTAATTCATTCACACAGTCAATTTATGGGCAAATATTACCAATCTAATTGGTAGTTACCAGTTGTCTAATTACCATTGTCTGATTAAGACATGGTAATATTCCATGTCTTAAAGGTGATTTTACATACACCTACTCTAAGATAACCAGTAATTTAACAAATTGTTTCATGTGCCAGGTGCAATGGCTCACTCCTATCATTTTTAGCACTTTGGAAGACCAAGGTGGGAGGATCACCTGAAGTCAGTCCTTGGAGACCAGTCTGGCCAACATGGTGAAACCCCATCTCTACTAAAAACATAAAAATTGGCCTGGCATGGTGGAGGGCACCTGTAATCACAGCTACTAGAAAGGCTGAGGCAGGAGAATCACTTGAATCTGGGAGGCGAAGGCTGTAGTGAGCCGAGATTGCGCCGCTGCACTTCAGTCTGGGCCACAGAGCAAAACTTCATCTCAAAAAAAAAAAAAATAAAAGTTTCATACAATTTTTCCTGCTTCTACAAATCCCTTATTAATATAAAAGATTAAGTGAGATAGTGCATTTAGAATTTAAAAATCTAAACATCTAAATAGATGTAAGACCATGTTTTTGTCTGTGAAATTTTTTTTCCCTGAAACTAGGAAACATAACTTATGCCAAGAAGAAGATTTTGATCTGATATTTTAAATTATTTAATGTTTAACATGTGTGTAAATAATTTTTATCCCTGTGAGAGCTAAGTAAAAAGTAAATAAATAATACTAACAGTAAATCATTAGTACTTACATTTTGCTTGGTAAATATTCAGACCACTTACTTTTTTAATTACTATTAATTCAATTTTTTTTTTGAGACAGAGTCTTGCTCTATTGCCCAGTGTGGAGTGCAGTGGCACGATCTCGGCTCCTGCAACCTCTACCTCCCAGGTTCAAGCAATTCTCTTGCCTCAGCCTCTTGAGTAGCAAGGATTACAGGTGTGCGCCACCACTCCCTCCCAGCTAATTTTTGTATTTTTAGTAGAGACGGGGGCTGGCCTGGTCTTGAACTCCTGACCTAAAGTGATCCACCCACCTCGGCCTCCCAAAGTGCTGAAATTATAGCCGTGAGCCACCATGCCCAGCTGAATTCTAAATCTTATATATTAATATATGCTGTGTAAAAGTTGCAGATACTAGCAGGAAATCACTTTTGTTAGAACAACAGCAACAAAAAAAAGAATCAGGGCCAGAAAAGCCCAAAAGAGAGGAGGCTCATGCTTATATGCCTGAAATAAATACTGTTTTTAAGGACTTTCTGAAAACCTCCAGCTAGAAACTGTCTTCAGTCATCTCCTGCTTTGATAAGGTTTATAACTAGATATTCCTTAGGACTGCAGTAACTCAGATCAGATGTTTTGAAAGAGCCCTTGCCCAGTCATGGCATCTCTACCAGTGAACTGGCAACAACTCTAGCTTTGAAACTTTGAAACCAATACACTCTGTTTCCAAGCAGTTTATGTAAATCTCTCCCTTTTTGCTGCTAAATGCCTCTCTCTACCCTGCCCTCACAGAATGAACTGGTAGTTTGCCATTTCATGCAATCTGGACGATAATCTTTATTTCTTATTCTTTAATTTTATTTTGTGCTTTTTTTAGGTTGACTAAAGTGTCCATATTTTAAAAAAATAGTCTAATAAATGTAAAAATTATTTTATTTGGTGTGGATAGAAGTTTTTTCAGCTTTCGGGAAATAGCCCAATTGTACATACAGATTTAAGTTTATTATTGCAGTTGCTTTTGTTATACTTTCTACTTTCCGTGTATGTTTAAATAGTAGGTCACGAATTTGGTAGTTCTCTAGTTTTAGCAAAATAGTGTGAGGTGAAGATAATTAAAATCACTCTATAATAGTTTTAGAACTGAATTAAGATGGTGTCATTGACAACTGTATTGGACCAACGTGCTCATTAATTATTATCACTTTTTCTGTTTTATTCTTATACAAATGTTCATTTTTTTTTTTTACTTTGCCTTGCTATTTCACTAATTGCACTCATATTTATGAAAGCAGGAAGCATCAACAATACCCATATATAGTTTATGGTTGCATATTTCCAGTGGTGTGCATTTTCCCATTATTTGGGCATACAAAATATATTAGAAGCATAGTAATCATCCCTATTTTTCTTTTGTTTTAGTATGCAGTATTGATAACGTGGGCTTTTGGTGTTCAGATTGTACTTTCAGCATTCATCTTCACAAAGAAAGAGGAGGTATGGAAAACAAATCCTTATCAATGCATCGTGTTATTTGAACTGTAAAGGAAATTGGATACCTTAGAGTACTGAGACCACTGAGCCTATATTAAAAGTCGAAGGTAAATGTATTTAGGGGAAAATAATATTCAATGAACGTACTAGAGTATAGGAAGGGGCCAGGAGTCAGATTGAAAGAGGTAGATAGGGAAACTTGCCTTTAACTCCATTTGCATATGATTAAAAAGTAGTTTTAAATATCAAACAGTATTGGGGAAGAGGAAATGGTATTGAGATTTAGGAGTCCAAATTGTTATATCCTCCTCCCCTTCTCCTCCTACCAACTCTGACTACCACTACTGACCCAATCACTGTATTATGTTTTTGCAAAGAAACAAATTTAGACTATAACTAATTTGAAATTGAGCAATTCACTTAAGACATACTAAATAATTCCTATATTTTCCACAGGTAGGGTGATGAGAGATTAAATTAATTAGAGCAAGATTTAGGTTTATCAAATTTAGTTCAAAAAAGCATACAATAAGCCTGAAAAAGCTTTTGGGCAATAAAACTTACCTATTACAACCTACAGTTATTTTAATTTCTTTAAGACATTTCAATATTTCAGCTTATTGAAGGTATGTCTTGTATCATGGGAGATTAATGTCCTATAGTAAAAACAGCACGTACTCGAAGTCATACAGACATGAATATGGTTAGAGATCAACAAGCTGCTTTACGGCTCTGAGCCAATGTCTTCATCTGTAAAATATAATACCTGTCTACCTTACAGAGTTGTCGTTAACTGAAAATTTATCAAGTTGCATTTGTAAAGTAGTCACTTAAGAGTTCTCTTTCCTCACCTTAATTAATCTTAAAAGAGCTCTGATTAATTGATATGGTTCCTAGATTTTCTTTATATCTATCTATATTCCTCTGCAATGGCCAAAGTTCAAAAAAAAAATCTTTCCTGTATGACACCATTGCCCTTCAACTTCATTCTTTACTGGACAGTTAATCATCTGTGTGTGCGTGTGTGTGTGTGTGTGTGTGTGTGTGTGTGTGTGTTTATGGGAGTTTTAAAAGTATTTTGGCCACAGCAGGTAAGTTTTGGAAAGCTGTTTTGGTGGCAAAACACCAAATCCCAATCTCTCAGCCTCAAACTTTTGAACCTGATGATAGAACAGAAATATGAGACATAAGAGTTATCAATAGGTAAATATAGTTTATCAGAGTTACCCATATTTGCTTCAGTGTTACGCACAGACTCCTGAATCTCTCTATATATTAGAATAAGAACTAATGAATAACTACCATGTGCCAGAGACTGTAATAAACACTATAGGCGTCATATTATTAATCCTCACAGCAACGCCTAGAAGCTGTAAGTCCTACTTTATAGAAGAGAAAACTGAGGCTTTGTGATGAGAAATGCTTGTTAAAGTATTTCATGACCAAATGACAGAGCCTGGACTCAAATACTCATTTGCTGACCCCAGAGCTAACAGCTTTGTTGACATCAGTTTGTTTTCTGCATTCAAACTGGCTTAAGTTCTTAAGAGCCTCTAAATCTTTTATGTCATTTCCAGTACTTAACTCAGTGTGGAAGATACACTAGGCCTTTAATCAATGCTTACCAAATTGAGTAAGTGTAAGAGAATTTTACTTATACATTAGGTTATACATGAAAGTACTTATGTATGAAGTTGTCATTTGTATTCGTAGTCTAGATCTCCCGAATAATGCTTTAGAAACTATACAAGGCCATAAGTTTTATCCCCCACACACTGCCAACAGCACTATTTTTTTTATAATTTTGCCAACAGCACTATATATTTTTTTATTCTAATTAAAAATAAGCAGAATAAAATAGGTCTAAATCCTCCCTGACATTATTCTAATTTTCTTAAATGTATTAAAATGCAAATATATAAGTAACTGAGTAAGAGTTTAGCTTGTAAGCCTTTTATAATTATTGTAATATTCTCACCAGTTAGTTTTTATTTTCAAAGACAACATGATTCAGTAAAAATCATTAGACTAGTATTCAAATGATCTTATTTAAATGTCTTAGCTTCTTGTAAACAAAAGTAGATAATTAAATTCTCTGAGTGTCTGTATTTCCATTCATAAAATGGGAATAATATCTATTCTTCCTAGCTTTTGGTATTATTGAGGACCAAATTAGTAATTCGTTCTAAAAATTATATAAATTTGTAAATGCTAAGTTACTACAACAATCATTCTACCTTTGCATTATCTGGATTTTGAGGTTGCAGAATTTTGTTTCTCCCCATTCAGATCTGATCATTTCTGTGTTAGAATTGTAGGAGAGATAAAGTTATATCTCATTCATGACAAGGCTCTTGGTTGAGATCCCTATAACAAAGACAAACTAACAAAGAAAAAGCAAAACAAATTTACTTAACCAAAACATAAAGACTCAAAGACCCAATGAAAACTATTTCTGTGGACAGTCATGTGAAAGTGTGATTGGAGGGCAAACGCATATAATCTAATGGTAATAAACCTGGGGGAAATTTAGCAAGGCCTGTTTGTTCAGATGCTTCTTGGCTTCTAGGTATAGGACAGGGCCCCTCTGGAATGAGGATCTTATGATATACCTTCAGGGGAAATGGGTCAGATACTTCTTTTATGACCTGCTTCATGGGATAAAGGCAGGAGAAGAAAGGTCCCATATACACAGTGACCTTCCTGCTTCTGTAGTTTTCTCAACTTCTTTGAGCTTAAAATATTCAGCATACCGAGGTGCTATATTTTGGAGTATTGTGTTCTGAGCCCTGATAGTATTATGAGAGGATAATATTTAAAATTTAAAAATCATTTTTTAGAAATACATAGTAGATAGAAGTCAATTATTTTATTTAACATCTTAATTAATGAGAAAACCAGTAAGATATAAAAACTAATTGAAAGGAGAATCCAAAGAGGACATTTATATAGGCCATCACTTAATAGATGCAAAACAGGCTTGGAGAGAGAAGGAATTAAATATACCCTTACTAAGAAAAATGTATTTCTATTTCTCTGACCAAGTAGAATTTGCATAACTACAGTTTTCTACAACTTTTAAAGTGATAAAATAAATTATAAGCCATGAAATGTATAGTACAGACCTCCCATGGAATTAAGGAATGTTGAAGTTTGCCAGAAAAAGCTTGATGCCATTGACAAGACACTTATTTTGCTTTTTGATTTGTTTAAAAGACTTTTAAAGTGTTTTTCTGAGTATGAGAGAAGAGCACATTACTTCTTCCTTGCTCATAAAATGAGCCTATAAATTACAAATTGAAAAACCATATGCTTTGATACCCACTGAGATTGTTAAAGTTATTTTAAAAAGAAATAAATGGATAACAGAAAAATAATATTGAATATTATCTTCATGATGGTACCCTTGAGGAACTATCAATTTTGATGAAATTTTTATGCATAAATTTCTATGATATTTTCACTTTTAATGCAATTTTCTACAGGTTTGGCAACTATGGCATGATAAAATTGATTGTGTCATTTCTGACTATGGATCTAAAGATAAGCCTGAAGATATAACCAAGTGGACTATTCTGAATGCTTTACAGAAAACAGTAAGATGAAATTAACTAAAAAAATTTGATGTCAATGTTGACCACTGCGGGACAGAGAGAGAAAAGTTTGGGGCAGGGAATAGGGGCAGAGGAATGAGGGTTTGTTGTATTTCTTTGAAACAAACTGGTCAAAAGCGCATTGTCCCCATTTACAAATCTTGAGTTATATCCTCCTTTCGTAACTCCTATTTTCTGTGTTAACTGATGTGCATTTTAACTTGGTTTCACCTCGAAAAGTGCTGGTGGTCTTTTGCCAAGTGAGATAGTCTGTCCCGCTGCACCTGATGGGAGATAAGTCTAAGCGTAGTCTCTGCTGGCAGCATGGTGGTTACCATTTGAGCCTCCATACCAGGATTGCTGTGTAATAGTTTTGTGGCTCTGGACAAGTAACCCTCTTAAACCCCAAGTTCCACATCTGTAAAATAGGCATATTAACCCCTACCTCCAGTTGGCAGGAACAAATGAAATAATATATAGAATATATAGAAAGTCTTGGATCCAGGACATAAATGCAACTAATACTTTTTAGCTAATTTATTAAGATTATTATTTCACAGTGCAGGGTTTTTTTTTTTTTGTTTTGTTTTGTTTTTGTTGTTGTTGTTTTTCTGGACAGCTGCAGTGGAAGGGTAAGAGAAGGGTATTGTCAGACAAATAGTTTGCAGAAATAGATCAGCACTGGAATATAGTAAGTGCCCAATTAAAAAAATAGCAAACATTTACATAGTCTGAAACTTTTTTGTAAGTGCTTTGCATATATTCGCTAATTCAATCCTCCCAAACCATAAAACATAGGAACTGTTATCCTCATTTTATAGATGAAAAACTGAGAAATTTAGTAATTTAATGAGGATTGCACAGCTAATAAGTGTCAGAGCCAAGATTCAAACAAACACAATCTGACACTAGATTCTGTATCCTTTACAGGTATATTACATGCCTCACACAAAAAATAGTTATTATTTTTAGCACATGTAATAATGGAAATCATCTTAAGAGAACTGAAATGTAATTTAAAAACACTTTTACTCATCGTCTTTTTCCCTTACATATGTGATCCATACATGCGTTGTATTTTCAGACTGCATGACAACTTACAGCAGAGGATTGAACCTTCCTATGGTCAGAAAATGACATGAAAACAATTCTGTATCTCATACTACTATTAGTGAAATTTCAAATTCCAGTTACTAGCCATTAATATAACTGAGATAATATATGTAGGTCTGTTTGTTTAAACTAACTTTCAGTACTAACCTAAATCTCAAGCATTATTTTGGTTATCAGCATTTCCTAGAACTGTGCTAAGATTGCTGTTATATCTTGTAAACATAGGCAGTACTAATGTTTTCATTACCTATAAAAGCTTAGAAAACAATTACTTACTTCACCTTTTTCTTATTTCCTGTGACAAATATGTAAACTGATTATTTCATATTCTCCTAACTCTACTTGATAGGATTCCAGAATCAGCACTGCAAATGAGACATTTTTTAAAAGTTGGATCATTTCTATAACTATTTTTATTATCCTCTTTTGGTTCTTTATGGTAATTTTCACACAGTACAAAATTGAAAGTTGACATCCCACATTAATCCTAGAAAAGTAGATCTTACCCTGAATCTTTTTTCAAGTTTGCCAAATATTTGTGACTGCATATTCTATAAATACAAAGAGAACTGCTATGGTTAAGGAAGAAGATATGGCTCAGGTGATTGTCAGTTTTATATTGTGATGATAAGCATCATTTATATGTAAGCATATCAAGTATATCTTCTATCCTAAAAATTCAGATGTAATAATTCTATCCAACCATATGCCACTAATGTGAGCAGAGATCTTTAGCTATGGTTGACAACAATAATAGCAGGGAAAAAAAAGTAATGAATTAAGCAAATAAACACAAATATGCTTATTTATTTAATCCATTGCATATTCGTGGGGGAAAATTAATGAGTTATCTTCATCACAAAAACCACTTTAATATTAATCTCATATAACTAGCTATAATTTGAATATTTTATGTTAAAATTTATATAAGCGTTTTTCTAGTTACAGTGTTGTGGCCAACATAATTACACAGACTGGATAAAGAATAAGAATAAAGAAAATCCAGGACAGGTGCCATGTTCTTGCACAAAGTCTACTCTAAGAAAATGGTTTTGTGATGAGCCACTGAATGCAACATATCTTGAGGTAAAGATAAGTCTAGGCTTCTCCAAGTGTTTATAGTATTTTGTTTGTTTGCTGTGTAAGTCAATTTAGAATTCCGAGCAAATTTTTATATAAAAATAGTGTTGTTTGTGGTGGCTACATTCTTAATCCACTTCCTTGAACTGAACACATAATCAGGTAAATTTTAGTGTTATTTCCAAGGTATAGTACAAAAAGTAAATAAACTTCCTGGGAATATATGATTTATGTATTCTTGAAACTTGGGATATCATCAGTCTTTCTCCCCAGTCTTCCTTGAGAAGCCCTGCAGAAAGAGGAGGCACTTTTGTCAAAGCCTTTGTGCATACGATTGATTAGGGAGCTATAACGCCAGAAGTAAAAGGGTAAGCAAAAACTGAAGGGAATGGGTCCCAGCAATGGCGAATGTGTTCAGGTAAGTGTGGCAGAAGCAAGAGTAAAGGGTTCTCTGGAGCAACTGCGATTTACGAGTGTGGAATATAGATAATTAGATATTTCCCTCCCAAGAACTGCTAATACTTTGTATAGTTTACATGCTAGACTTATCCTAATTTTAAGATGTATTGTTTCAATTGCAAAATTAATTAATAAATAAATGGTAAATACATTTTTTAAAAGCATCTACTATTTGGGAAATAACCATTTTAGGTGATGGTATATACAGTAGTCACCCCTATCTGCAGTTTCACGTTCTGAAAGTTCAACCATTGAACATATTAGATTTAAAATTCCAATAATAAATAACAAATAAGTTTTAAATTGCACATCATTCTGAGTAGTATGATGAAATCTCGTGCCTTTCTTCCCTGTCTCCACTGGGACATGAGTCAGCCCTTTGTCCGGTGTATTCATGCTGTGGATGCTACCCAACCTTAGTCACTTAGTAGTAATCTTCATTATCAGACCGACTTTTGAGGTATTACAGTGCCTGTATTCAAATAACCCTTAATTTACTTAATGGTGACCCCAAAGTGTAAGAATAGTGATGCTGGCATATTGTTATAATTGTTCTATTTTATTATTAGTTATTGTTTTTAATCTCTTGCTGTGCCTAATTTATAAATTAAGCTTTATTATATTATGTATCTCTAGAAAAATACATAATACATTTAGAGAGTTTTATACTGTCTGTGGTTTCAGGCCTCCATTGGGGGTATTGCTGGTGGGTAAGCAGGGAGACTACTGTAACCTGATGAATTACAATAGTCTGCAGAAGAGTAAAATCCCTTTTTAAAACTTAATAAAGTTCTGATTTTAATTACATGATAACATCTTAGCAACTTTAGAATTAGCAACTGAGGTATCCTGCTGCCATACAAAGCTTTCTGGACTAAAAGTCCAGTCTCCAGTTAGATATTTGTTGATTTACTATTTAGATTTTGGTAAATTACTAATCTCTGTTTACCTTTTATTTTGTGTAAAGAATTATGTATAAGATCATTTCCATCTCTAAGTCAATCTGAATAACTTTTTTTCCTCAGGGTTGTGAAAATAAAATCAGTACATGGTATAATGTCAATGTGTTAACTTTAATTGGAATTAACTTTGGACTTTTAACTTCAGAGGTAAGTTTTTGTCCATATGTTAAAAATGAAAAAAAAATTTTTCCACATTAAAACTAGTCATTATTACATTTGCTTGTCGCTTAACTTGCTTATAGTTTATAAATGCACAGGGAAAAAAATTAACATCAAAGAAGTTGCAACTGATTTTATCCCAACAGGCATCTGTCTACTTTAAGTGCTACAAACATTCTTTCTTAGGGAAAGATCTATTTTTTAATGTTTATTACAATTCATGCAGAATTTACTAACTACTTCCTAAAAAGCAAGAGTTTCATCATGGTGTTGGAAACCAAAAACAAGATTTCAGTCAAGGACAGTGTGACATTTCTGTTTCCAAAAATAAAACTGCATTATAAAATTAATAAGTTAATGAATTAAAAGATACACACTTTGCCTAAGATAAAAATCACTTAATTGACAAATCATTGTAGAGTGTAATGAAAGAAACAAAGTGAGACTACATAAATGCGTTTTTCAAAGACGGTGAAGATCCTAACTTGAAAAATGAAAAATATTAAGTATAAGTTATACAGAATAGACTGCAGAGCGATCAGGTAGAGACCTAATAAGATAAGTTCATATAATAGGAGCCGGGACTTTGAGACTCTTTACACCCTAGAGTTGTATAGGTGATCCCTTAATCAGCCAGGTGTGTGGAGCCTGCTAATAAGTGGTCATCCTGGAGGTAATAATTTTATTACTTTGCGATCTCTAATACTGATCTCTCTATCTTTTTATCTTTCTTTCTATATAGATAGAAAGATAAATCTATAGATGTATTGATATATTTATATGTATATATACATATACACATATATATGTATATGTATATATACACATATATATGTATATGTATATTCATATATTGGCAGTAAAAGCATCATTTTGGGCAGTCTGCAAGTTGGCAGACTTCTGAAATCTAGCCAGATGTTTGACATAAGATCCACTATTCACTCATATATTGACTTATTCAATGTATTTGGAGGAAGGAGGTCATTTATTGTGTGTCATGTTGATATACAATGAGATGCAAAATAGACACATTCCATGACCTTTAGGTAACAACTGCAGACTTAGGATTCAAGACACTATTCTCCAGTCTCAGTGAAGACTATTAAGTGCAGGCTATGGATTCAAAGAAACAGTGAGAGTGAATAGAGTGTTATAGTGGTTACTATACCACTAAAATAAATACATAATGCATTTTTTGACAGATGGGATAAGGGTTTTGCATTTGACTTTGCATTGATCTATGAAGCTCCTGACCTAAGTTTCCATATGTTCAGCTGGTAACAATTGTAGTCTCAGAATGGTAGTAAACCAAGACATTCTTTATACACATTAGTATCATTGTTTTTAAATGTTTATTCTTTATTGTGCTCATGCTGGAATATTTTAAGACAAAACTGGAGTGGATAATATCCATGCTCCATTTTATCTTCTGCCCTTTACATACCACTTTTCATTATCTATAACAAAAAGAAGGAGTTTTGTACATTTAAGGACATAGTTAGGAAGATGCCAAATAACAACAACAAGAAAACCATCAGCAGTTTGTCAAGGCATCTAGCTCAGTGATAGCTCATGTAATTAAAGCCTAAGGGTTTTTCCCTATTCTCCTCCATACATGAACTAGGTAACAGGTGGGTTATTCTTGAAGACTCATTTTGCAGGTTTCTTATTCACAAGTATATGTACCTTACTCTGAAATTTTTTCACCCATTTTGATTCCTTTTCCCTTTACAATATGCATTTAGGTGACTATATAGTTTTAACTTTACAAATTACTCATTGATTAAATTTTGATCTCTTATTGTTCCCTTTTCTTCCAGGTTTTACAGGTCTTATTAACAGTTTGTTTCTTCAAACACATCAAGAATATAATTCATGCAGAAATGTGACCTTTGGATTTCAATTTGTTCAGAAGAAACTAGTTAATTCTTAAAATAATCACACTATATTATTTTATTCCAAAAGTTTTGAATTGCATTAAATAAGAGATCTATTCAAATTATTAATTATATGCTATATTGAATTACAGAATATTATAATTAAACATTCATGAAATTATATTAATTTGTTTTTCAAAATATTAAATTCTACAGTTCAGAACTTCACCTTATTTTTTGAATTTAAAGGGTATCATCATATTTACAAAACTCAAAATATCACCATATGTTTTGAGTTTCTTTTGTAGAGAAAATACCTATAGGATGCTCAGAAAATACTAATTCAGTAATCAATCATATCATGTACCTTTTATTTGCAGATCTTGAGAAAACAATACTGATTTTATAGTACATTTAAAAGAAAGATCTTTTATGACACTAACATCTGTATTAAACCTTCATGACATTAACATCTGTGCTAAATCATTTATCTGTGTTTCCTGATAATGTTTACATTATCAGGATAATAAACTTAAAGTGGATAATAAACTTAAAGGCTTGGTTATACTTTTATGGCAATAACATAATATTAAAATAGCAGTTAAGTTTTAACTGTAGCAAAAATAATCCATTCTAAACACTGAAATCTCACACTCTTTACTAGCTCATTTTTCCTTCTCTTTTTCCTTAAATTTTATTCAATACATGTTGATACAATTCTCTGAAGAATATAAAAGTAACGCATCTGTCCTATTTTCCTAACAATGTTACTGTGAAAAAATAAATTCTTTGAAAAGTAAGTGCTACACAGATGTGAGGTACTATGGTTGTTGTCCCTTAATAGCAAAAGGCTGTCTTGACCTTGAGGACGTAAAGAAAAGATAGATTAACTGAAGATCCTGCATTGCTCCAACTCCTATAGAAAGCTCACTCTCATTTACGAATTCAATAATACATCTTTTCATCCATCTATTTAGCACAGTGAAGGTTTCAGAGACTTCTGGACTTTTTTATGTCAGCACAAAAGAAAATACAATAACCATTTTCTTTGATGCAATCTTTTTTAGATTTAGATATGTCAAGTAGATATATCTTCTATTTTTGGGAAATATTCTTTTAGGATTTAAAACTCATCTTCAAATTTCTGTTTTCTCTACAGTATGTCACAATAACACACTGATAGCAAAAAACCCTCTAATAGGAATTGAAAACCAAACTAATGTTAATCAAATAAATATTACATTTTATTTGATTTTCATCAAAAAGGTCTCAATATAGTAGATTGCCTATTCATAGTTAATACAGTTAATTCAAAAATTGTATGCACCACTGACTGAATCAATCACCTTTATGATTCTAGGGAATATTGTTTTGAAGGAAGTTGCTTTATACCCTGAATATAATAAATACTTATTGGCAAAATAAAATGGAATATATCAGAGACATGTTTCTCATATTAATCTTGTTTTCTAAAGTCAAAGATAGAAAATTTTTAAAGGCCTAAAAATTAATCTGGATCAGAAGTGAAACAATGAATTAGAACCTAGAATAACATCTAATTCTGACTTTCCCGTCAAATGGTCGTATCACTTACACGAAAGCATTTAACTTGCTTCAAGCTCCCCATTTTAATTATGCTTCAAAAAACAGGGCTATTTTGAGATGGTACTATATAAGTAGAATATTTTCAAATTATCCTAGATAAGGATATATGCATTCAGTCAACAGGCATTTATGGAGAACATATAATATTATTCGCCAGTGATGTTGCTACTTATTGGGATATGAAGATGAAAAGATATACAGGACTGACTTTATGGGCATGCAACCTACATTTAGAAGAGGTCCATGTAAGTAGCTTTGCAAAGAGCTGCCCCTGTCCCTGTAGTTATATTTGGAGTCCAGTCATGCAGCCATACATAAAAACAAATAAATTATATATATATATATATATATAGTAATTTTTATGAACATAAAAATTACTATATATATATATAATTACTGAGAGAGAATGCCAGTTTGCCTTAAAGGTTCAGAGGGCACTTTTGAAAGAAAAGTCATTAATTCAGCAATCGCTTATTGAGCAATTACTATGAGTCTGTCACTACTGAGTGGTAAAGAAATGGCAGTGAATCGAACGAAAGAAAATAAAAAGTTGTAAAACAAACAAAAAACACACTGCTTTCAAGTCAGGGAAACCAAACAACAAAATATAAACAAATTAGTTATCGTGTCATGGCAGGAAGCACTACAAGAGAGAAAAATGAGGGAGTAGAATAAGCAGGAGAAGTGGGGTTGTGGGGATTGCATTTCTAAATAGGATATACAAAAAAAAAGCCTCACTGAGAAAATGACTTTTGAGTAAAGTACTGATAGAGACAAGAAAATAAGGGGAAGGTATGCAGTGAGCATGTTGAGTTCAAAGAAAGACAAAAAAGCCATGTGCCTAGTGAAGAGGCTGGGGAAGAAGGGAGAAAGTTTCAGAGGGAGAAAAGGTCTTGACGGGACTTGACAATCACTCTCAGGACTTTCATTTCTACTCAAGTTAGATGTAAAGCAATTGGCAATTCGCAACAATTTCATAAGTGACGTGGTCAGATTTGTATTTTAATAGAAGCAATACAGCTGCCATGTTAAACATAGAGTTAAAGGGCACAAGTGTGGAAGCAGGGAAACAGACTGGATTTTATTTAACAATCCAGATAGATGTTGGTGGATTGGGCTGAAGAGTAGAGCTGAAGTTAATCAGAAGTGACCGGATTCTGTATGCATTTTGGGGCGGAGTCATCAGAATTTACCCACAGTTTGAATGTAGGGATATGAAAGAGTGGAGTCCAAGATGACCAGAGTAAATGGAAGGATGGAATTACCATTTTCTAAAATGGGTAAGACTTTGGAAAAAAACAAGGTAATTTTAATACTTAAAACTTTAAAAATCCTACTGAAATGATTTGTTATGTGTCTGCATTCCCCACTAGTCAGGAAAAAACTTAAAGCTAGCTATATTTTGAGTCATCTTTAAAACTCCAAATCCTTGCTCAGTAGGTAACATTGTAGGTGGTCAATAAATGTTAATAAACTTTAGAAGTTCAGGTTATTTCATAAGCTATCAGAGTAAGCCCAGTTGCCCTCTTAGATTGATGCTGACTATATTGCAAAGTTTTGATTTCATTAAGCTATCATAAAGTCTAGATGTGCTTGGTACAAAAGGAGCTGTGAGTTCAATTACTTGCTGCCCCCCATATCTCCTGTCTCTAGGAACCTGACCTGAATGAGAGATATTGGTGAATGAAGACTTCCTTAAAAGGATTTCATTGAAAAAAATGTTTAAAGGAATACCACAATGAAAATAATATCAGCCAGCCCTAAGCTTTTGTTTAATGTTTGTGACATTTAATGTTCCTATACTTTTATCTTTCTGTTCTTAGAGGAGTAATTATTCAGGAATTTAAGAGTCCCTGGCAAAAGGAAGACACACACACAAAATCAGTGTTCTTGCTACCATGATAAAGGGCTGGAAAATATTTAAAAATAAAAAAACAGAGAAGCTTTGCTCTACACCACCTGTTTTACTGATATAAATTTAGCTTTTTTAACTTATTTTGCTTCTTTATTCCTTTTTTTATTTTGGGGGTCACCTATTTTTTAGAGAGAATAATAACATATTTTTAGTAGAACTATAATTATTGTACAATAATGGATTTAACACTGTATAAATGATAAAAACAAGGAAAGCAGAAGCCATTTTTTTGACAAATTTATAGAGATGCAACTTTTACTAGTATTCTAAATATTTGGAACAAAGTAATGAAAATATTTTTACATACGAGCATTTATAAATGTAAAGTGCTTAACAATTGTTGGGATGCATTAAACCTGTAATTAACTGTATTCAAACATAGTATTAATTCATCCTCCTTAATGTTTGAGAAGATATATGAACTGAAATATGCAAAATTATTGAGTTTCTGGATTGTTTCTTTTAGTAGCATATTTTATTTCAGGGGAAAATATAAAAGACACTAGATAACAGAATATGTCTGTAAGAATATATACAGGTTTTTATTAAAATAAAAATATTTGTTTAATATGTGTAGAAATGTATGTGAATATATAACACAAAGTATCATATGTAATGGGATTAGAAAGAATATAGTATATACAAAATTATAAAGAATGTGCTATGTACAAAAGAATATGTTATATACAAAATATATATTGTATACAAAGAATATATGCAAAAGATTATATATGTACAAAAAGATATATACAAAACACAAAGTATCATATGCAGTAGAATTAGAAAGGTTATATAATTACAACATCAACAGAGTCTTTTATTGTTAAATTTCTAGGTTATAGACATGTGGAAGCATGGCATAACAAAATTTATCACTAATATTCCCATGTAAGTGGTTTACTATTTATTCACTTATTTTATTTCATCCAGGAGGAAATGTTAACTTTTTTCCACATTGAAATGTGTTATTACTATTAAAACTCCAAGAATAAAATGTATTAGGAATTTTTTTTTTAGGGGGTACAGAGTCTCACTCTATTTCCAGGCTGGAGCACAGTGGCGTGATCTTGGCTTACTGCAACCTTCGCCTTCTGGGTTCAAGGGATTCTCCTGCCTCAGCCTCCCAAGTAGCTGGTATTACAGGTGCCTGCCCCCATGCCCAGCTAATTTTTGGTATTTTTAGTAGAGACAGGGTTTCACCATCTTGACCAGGATAGGAAATTTTTAAACAATGTCAGATATGAGTAAGCGATTTTAATATTCTATTAGCTATATTGCTATCTATTGTGTTCAAATTCCATTAAGTAAAAATATGGCTGGCATGTCATGCATCAATTTAAACCTATTGAGGCTTGTAAGAATTTCCTCCGTGTTAAAAAATAAAAAATGTTTTAAAAGCGCTAGAATAATTCTAAAAGAAAATTTGGCAAACATTATTAATAACCTTAAATGAATTAAGCACAAATCTGTAACAGGATTCAGAAGATTATTTTTCAAGTCTGTAGGATATAATGATACTAAAATTTAGTGTTTACTTTTGTGTCCATTGTTGGTTGACTTTTAGGCAGAAAGCGTTTTCTTCAAATCTAATCTGCCTTTCCTTCAAATCTAATCCAGTATTGGATATCTGCAACTATGCATTTAATTAGTAATTCTTATTA